TAATTTTCTTCCTCGGCCTTTAATGACTTCAAGGGAAACTTTTTCCCTTTACCTCCCACCCCCCCGCCCCTTTCCGCATGCGGGGGCCGGGGCCGCTCCCCTCCCCACCCCGCTCCGCTCCGTTCCGCTCCGTCCCTGCAAACCGCCGCTTTCCCGGCGCCAGCCGCCGAGGTTGTGTTGTGATTCGGTCCATAACGACTGAGGATAAAGTTTAAATGTGCGTGTGTATCTGTGTGTGACGCGGGTAATACGCGTTATTAAAAGATGCCCCGAGTTAGTGTCGCTGGGGAGACAGCCTGGGAGTTTTTGCCTTTTTTTTTTTTTTTTTTTTAATGTATGTGCTTTCCTCCTCTTAATTTTATTAAAGTGCTTAGTGGGAGAAACAAAGGTTGGAGGGGCTGCTGCTTTACTAGCTTTTGTTTACTTCCAATCAAGTTTTTCCTGTTTGGAGCAGGTGTGAAAGGATGAGAAGCATGTTGTGTTGTGGTTGTTTTGTTTTTTTTTTTTATTCTTCCCCCCCTCCCCCTTAATAAAACTATTACAGACAATTAACAGTAAACGTTATCTCCAAGGCTTTTTCTTTGGCTTGGGTTACCAAAAAGCTGATCTGTTTGTTACAGCTGCTAGGAGGCTTTAGTTTACAGTAGCATTCAAGTTTTTCCTGTTTTGAACAGGTTATGAAGGAAGAATGGAGTTTCCAGACCATAGCCGCCAGTTGCTGCAGTGTCTGAGTCAGCAGCGTCACCAGGGCTTCCTGTGTGACTGTACTGTTTTAGTTGGAGAAGCTCAATTCAGAGCTCACAGAGCCGTTCTTGCCTCTTGCAGTATGTACTTCCATCTTTTCTACAGGGACCAGTTAGACAAAAGGGATATTGTGCATCTGAACAGTGACATTGTCACAGCCCCTGCCTTCAGCCTGCTGCTCGAATTCATGTACGAGGGAAAGCTGGAATTCAACAGTCTCCCAGTTGAAGATGTACTGGCTGCGGCTAGCTACCTTCACATGTATGACATTGTGAAAGTCTGCAAGGGCAAGTTGAAAGATAAAGAATTATGTTCGGAAGAGAAGATTAATGATGAGGCGGCGAGTTTGGAGAAAGCGGAGCATTTTCTAGACGCTGGAGTGCCCCTGGTCCACGAGTTTGACCCAGGAAACAAACAAAAATTCAGCGTTGCAGAATACGAGAGAGCAGCGGGCAAAGAAAAGGTCAGCAGTCACCCCGCCTGGTCCTCTGATCATCTAAGTGTCAGCTCTGTGCCGACAGAGGCAGAACCCAGCGCCGCAGCAGCTGGAAAAACAAAGGCTAATGTCAATAGTTCCACAGGACCTTTGTCCCAAAGGTCTGTTAACCATCCCCTGGCTTCGAGTGATGTGGACTGCGCGCTGGATTTGTCTTTCAAGCCCGTGCCGGGGAGAGATTCCTTACACCCCTCCTATGTCTTTGGACAGCTGGCTTCCGACAGCCAGCAGCAGGGTACCGAGCCACTTGTTAAAGATGAACAAGACTTGCTGTCAGATCAGGAGGATGGCGAAGCCAGGAGTCCGGAGAGTCAGCATTTTGGGAATTCAGCCAAAAGCCTAGTGACAGGGTTAGGACACATGTTCGCGGGGAATGGCAGCTCTCATGCCCGAGAGGAGGATATAGATCACGAGCGAGATGAGAGCGAGGACGACATGGATTCATCGGACATCTCCTCCTCAGGCGTCCTGGTGCCTCCTGGGCATATCTGCATTTGCCCCCTCTGCAGCAAGGTGTTCCCCAGCCCCCACATCCTTCAGCTGCACCTCAGCTCTCACTTCCGCGACAGGGACGGCTCCCGGACCCGCCTGTCCCCCGACGGGTCGGTCCCCACTTGTACCCTCTGCGGAAAGACTTTTTCTTGCATGTACACGTTAAAGAGGCATGAGAGGACTCACTCGGGGGAGAAGCCCTACACCTGCGGCCAGTGCGGCAAGAGCTTCCAGTATTCCCACAACCTCAGCCGCCACGCGGTGGTACACACCAGGGAGAAACCCCACGGGTGCAAGTGGTGCGAGAGACGGTTCACGCAGTCGGGGGATTTGTACAGACATATCCGCAAATTTCATTGTGGCCTTGTAAAGTCCTTGGTTGTTTGAGACGTGTGAATTTTTTTTTTTTTTTTTAATTTTATTTCCCCCCATCCCTTTAAAACAAAACAGGAAAAAAAAGGCAGCATCTGATTTTTATTTCCACCCCCCCCTCCTTCCTTTATTTTATTTTGGTGATACTCACTTCACGTATATGATCTTTAAAAGATGCAGAGGTATACACTCCAGAGGCCTTTTAATGCAATCCTTCCACCTCTCCATCTCCCTCCTTCCCCTGCTGCCCTCCCTTCCCAGGCTCATCCTTTAGGTTTTCTCTTACGCACCCAATTTACATTATTAATGTGAAATGATCTAAGTAACTCTGCAATGATTTAGCATCTGTTTTCATGCTGGAAGTACTTGCTTCGTGGTTAGGGGTTTTTTTGTTTTGTTTTGTTTTAGTTTCAAAAAAGATTATCAGCAAATTCCGAAGAAAAATTTGGATTCCATTAAGCTCCCCTGATGCTCTCTGTGTGTTGCATAGACACATCCAAAGAGATGAACTATGATTTAAATACATTTCAGTGTAGAGAAACCTGTCTGCATATCGCAGAGTAAGCGGCCGTACTCTTATTTATAGAGCTCAATGAGACCTTAAATTGGCCCCAGTTGTAAAGGGGGTTGAGGATTCCTGGCTGCATCTTTGGTACTGGTCATTTTTTATTCTCTTTATTATATTAGAATAATTCTGCAATCAGTCCTAAAAGCTGAAAGAGAAGTTTTCACCTTGGGACTTGACTTAAATTTTCCCTTCCCACCCATCTCGTCTGAGGGCTGACCTACCGAAAAGCTGCTTTTTGAGCATAAAATGTGGATGGAAAAACACTTTCTGTCTGCAGCGTGTTCACTCCTGAAATATTGAAGGATGCGCACGAGGACATATGAGAAAAATCATATGATACGTGAATATTTTCATTCCCATGTTGACACCCAGGGGCTGATTCTGTTGCCTTTGAGGTCTCGATTTCGGGCTCCTGGAGTGTTTTAATTCAAGGTAACTCATACCACGTGTGTTAGGAGATGCCCTGCTATCTTCTTTGAAGAGTTTGCTGCTATGCTAAAATCAGCAGCTCAGAATTTTTTTGTTTGTTTTTATTTTTTTGAAGTTGGTGATTCTCTCTGGGCCAAATCCTGTGCAATCGCCAGTATTTCAGAAGGCCAATATGAAGCTAAACTGCTGGAGGGAAAACATAGCCCAGCTTTTCCCCCCATGTCCCATCTTTTCAGGGGAGGTTTTTGGGGTATTTTTAGGTGGGGTTTTTCTTTTTAGTTTGTTTGTAAAGTGAGGCTGCCTGTGGCTATAACCAGTTTTACTCCAGATAACTCAGTTACTTGCCTAATAGAGCATCCTTTGGTCTGTGCATGTTGGTAAATATCAGATTATTCCCTTCCAGTCAAATTACCCATTCAAGGTACATGTAGATGGGACTGAAATAATAATAATAATAATATCTGAGGGTTTTGAATGTCATTCTGCTGCGTTAGAGTTGCTTCGCCAGCTTTCCTGACACTCCTGGAGTTCTTTTGTGAAACTTAAGCGTTTATTTTTAAATGAATTTGAAGCACTGAGTTAGATTATTTTTAAAAGTTGTGCTTAAAATACTGTATTTCATTTTATGAAGAAAAAATTTCCCAATGCCTTCCCCCTCTGGTCCAAAACCTGAGTGCTACCTGCATAAATAATATGGGATTGATTATTATTTTTATTTTTTTTTTTACATAACTACTTCCTCTTTTAAAGAAAATCAGGATATACTTGTTACAGCCTCCTCTTATTATTCATCTCTTAAACTATGAATGTACATGTAATGTGAAATTTTGCTTTTATTTATAGTTTTGGGTTTTGTTGTTTTGAGTCTAATTTCTCGACTGTAAAATATTTTTGCTGAACCTGTTACATATGAAAGTTGTGGGAGAGTACTGTATCTTGAACATAAGTGGCTTTGGTACTGTGGTCTTATTCTACTTAATCAGTTTTTTCTTCCTTTTTTTAATTGCCTTTTTGCTGTGATTGGAAATAGCACTGAACAAAATCTACTAAAATTAAGTTATTTTTCTTTCTACTAAAATTAAGTTATTTTTTTTTTCCTGAAGATACTTGATACAGTATTTATTAGACTTTTTTTGAAGTGGAATTATTACTGTTAATCTATTTCATAACTAGTTAATTTACACTTCACTTTAAGTTTTATTACAATGGGTTTTGCATGTTGAACAACATGTAAAGAGTTTAATGTAGAGTCAGCATTACTGAAGCTGGTAATCTTAATTTTGCATTCTTGTGACACTTTTTTGCATTTCAGTCTTCAGTTTTTGTTTTTTTTTTTTTTTTTTTTTTTTTTCTATTTTTAGAAGATCATGAAATAGGATGTGCCATAAGAATATCATTAGCGTATGGAGCAGGGAAAAGTTGAAACAAGTTTGTGTCTGATCTTAGTATAGAAATAATTCATTAAACTGATGCTATGAGCATGCTCTGTACTGCAGTGAATATGGGGCAAAAGTTGTTTTTTTTTTTTTTTTTTTTTTTTCTAAAAAAAAAAGAAAAAAAGAAAAAATACTTTCTTTACTACATCATGAACACACTGTTCTCATAGTCTGGTATTTGTGTTCCCACTCCTCATAGCTTGAATTTCTAAAGTAAAAAAAAATGTTTGCACTTATTTTTTTTTTTGTTCTTAAGGTGACTTTTTTGGCTATCTCTCTGTGTGTCTCTCTTATTTTTAAGTTGCAATAGCTCGGAGCATGTTTTCAAAATGGTTCATGTCTCTACAGAAAAGTACTAAAAACATTGCACACTTACGCTTGTCTCTTCATCAGCTATTTCACTGTGGGGCGGTTACTGTCTCTGTAGGGGACAGTCCTGCTCTGCATTTTAAACACTGGATTTGTCTTCTACAAACAAATACTGTGAAGTTAATGTAAAAAAAAAAAAAAAATCATTGATATTTTTAATTGTTTTTAATCTCGGTGCAGTTCAGATTAAATATGTATATTTAAAGACACTAATTTTTGTGGGAGAGTTTTATAGAATACAGTATGTAGAAAAGCTATTGGAATGGAATATATTTTATAAAAACGTTCTATCACTGTTTTATAGTGAACTATTTTTTCTTCAGTGTTAGCGTAATACTGTTAGTCTAGATACGACAATCGCAGGAAGAGTGATTCAAGCTACTGTTAGCGCTTAGTTTTGCGTGGAGTTCTGTTTGCAACTGTATTGGTATGTGCTGTACAATGTGACAATCGTGACTAGGATTGTTGTCTTTATAAATTTACATAAAATAAAACGTGCTAGAATTGTAAGCTTGAGCCTCCTCTTCCCCCTTTAGTGGAAAGGATGTGATGTTTGGGGTTTTTATTAGTATTTATTTTTATTTTATCTTTTTTTAATTAATATTTTACTGGTGTTTGTGCTTTTTTTTTTTTTTTCTATTTTATGGTGGTTTTTTGTTTTTGTGTTTGGTTTTTTTCAGTATTATTATGATATACTCTAATAATGTCTTTTCTTTTTCAGGACCACGTGGAATTTTAGTCATGTGAGGAGTTGCCGTATCTCAGTCAGAGCCTGACTGAGCGTTTCTTTAGTCACTGGGCAGGACAAAAACCAGCACCACTTCTGCATTTTAACCAGAGTGTCAGGGAGGTGTGAACGGGCTCAACTCTCCCTCCCATGCCCTGAGCGAGCCTTGGACCAGCCCTGCTCCGAGTGTACAGCGGCAGGCGGGCGCTGGGGACCAGGTGATGAACCTGTGGATGCAGAAGTGATGCAGTGTGCGAGGACAGCCCAGCCAAGGGCACCAGTGCCCACCGGCATCCCAGCGCCGTCAGGCTGATGGAAACCACGTCAGCTAACTTGTGTGAAGGGGTTCTCTTAAGCACTGAATCTCTCCCAGGCATGGGAGGGCTGAGGTCTGACCCAACCCCTGCTAACATCCGCGTTAAAACTTGTGTTGACTTTAGCAGGGGCTGGGATTAGGGGAAGAAGATGCGAGTTGTCCATGCCAGCTGCTGCTCAGGGAAGGACAACAGGCTGGTGGGTGGGTTTGCACCTGTATTACGCACACTGCGTCTTGCGTTTCTTGGTTATTTGGAGGTGAAGGATCCCGGCAGAATCGGACTGCCTTGAAATGATGCTGGTTGAGGGATGGGCAAATTACAGTTAATGCCGGTGTGGAGGCACAGCTATCTCTCTCCTCCTGCTATTGCATAGCCACTTCTTTGCAATCATCTTAAAATAGATAGGTATTTCTTGTGTTCAAGCATCCATCCTGCCTCGTAGAGCTTGTGCCTCCATCCCTACGTTCAGGGAGGGCAGAAAGCTGCTGGAGATGTTGTGGTCCTGCTCCAATGTGGTAAAGTGTTATAAACTGTAAATATATACATTTTAAAATTTATTTTTTAAATTTCTACCATTGAGGGGTGGGTGTCTCTGCAGCTGCTTATTTGTGGCGTGCTCTCTTTCCACTCTTTTCTGCTGTTGTGGTTGTATGGAAGAGGATTCAAATGCATTTTATCCTCCAAAAAATTAACTAAATATATCAGAATCTGGGTGCTGTGCTAGAGAAGGGGGAGGCAAAAGGCTTTTCTTTGAGGGAGAAGGTGCGCAGAAAGAAGTGAGCTTGAAGCTAAACCTGGGAGGTGGATGGCTTGCAAACAGGCTATAAATAACCATGAGTAGATTGAGGAGAGCAGCCCACATCTACTCTGGCATGGGCATGCTGTGCCCATTTTCTTTGTTGATAGCAATTGCTAATGTGAATTCTGGCACTCCAAATCCTGATGCCTGTTGTTCTGATAACAGAATTAAATCTTAGGAATGTGAAATATAAAAAGCTTTGAGAAGAAAGCAGGCGACTGAGCAGAGACTGGAAAGGGGGGATGTGGGGTGTGTATGTCCTGGATAAGCAAAGGGATCCCTCTGGGCAGGGATTCCCCTGGTACCCTGGGGGCAATCCTACCCTTCCCTATGGGAAAGGGGGTGGCCCCCAGGAGCATCTGCTGTCATC